CCTCCCTCCCCCCCATCGCATCGGTTTTTCCATGTCTCAATGCTCCCCATCGTTACTACTTCGGAGTGTCAGGATAGCCTCCCCCTACTGTTGCGGGAAATAGACTCCGCTCCTGTCGGTGGGCAGACCCGATCTGTCACAAGGCGGTGGGCCCCCTTTTGGCCCCCGGTTTGATTAAGGATCATATCTGCATTCTTCTAGTGTGGCCAGTGGGCTGGGCCGGACTGGGCTGACGGCCGTGGTCGGTAAGGGATCAGACTTGCATCAGGCCAGGATGACAGACCAGGGTAGTGCAGGATATCTGCATATCACGACGGAGTCGAGACTGGAGTGACACTGTGCCAGTTCACACTAGCGATCAGATCTGGTTTCCACAGGACAAAACAAGCGCGACCCCTGCGGAGTGTTGCTCCGTAGAAAGGGTACATATATCTATCAGAAGCTGCAGGTGTACGGAGACTGTACAGTAGACAACTGGAGGCATTGTTCCTCGAAGGGCGGGTTGGGGTAGATTAGGACCGTATTCACCGGCAATTGCTCAGGGTCCTTCTGAAACCTCCCTAATCATCATCTCTGGCAATAGCCATGGATGAGTCGGTCGGATCCATCCTTAGTCTGTTTTGCGATCATAAGCTGGAACCGAGCTGAGGGCCCTGCTACTGGCGATGGAGCGAGAGGTACGTACGCACGCTGTTGGAGGTCTCAGTAACGACAGCGGTGGTGGTAGGAGTGGTGGTGGTGATGGTGGTGGCTCCGATGATGCCACTGTGTGCTTTACTATTTTTAGATCCACAGTACGGGAGACCATAGAAACTCCCGGGACAACGTCTACACTATACTCACTCCTACAGTACTACTGTACTGTACTACTAAGTTACTGTACTTCTCTTCCGCCACTACAAGAACGTCAGGACTCAGGAGGCACTTGAGCAATATATGGTATCGTCTTGCTCATCAACCAAACAATGCTGGACCCCATTTACTGAATTGAGCATGATAATCATGAGCCCCAAGGATAGATGCCAGGTACTGGCGGAGGGAAGCGTGGATATTTCTCTTTTGGTCCATTTCTGCGTCGCTAGCGGGATCGCGCAGCGGATATACACGTAAGCGAAGCTGTGCTGATCCCACCTTAGTCTAGTGGCATTGTGTGTGTGTGCTCTGCAGTGAGAGTAAGTGTCGCCGCTTCCTCTTCTTCCACTCCTTCCACATCGTCCACATCATCCACATCATCCACAATCCCACACATTTTCCCACGTCCTCCCTTGCTCAACTTGAAACCGGTTCGCCTCAATCTATCTCTTGAGGCCAACCAGTTCTCCCTATCTTTATCTGATCATCACACTTGGCACGACACTGCGTAGGCACTTTGACCGAATTCATTTCTCATTGGTCCCCTTGTCGATCTATTCCCCCTCTCTCCCTCTCTCCCTCTCTCCCTCTTTCGCTCTTTCGCTCTTTTGCTCTCTTTCGCTGCCTCCGCTCTGGACACGGTCCAACTGTCATAGCGTTGATAGACGGACGCACTTTGGTTGGCACCTGCAAGTTACAGGTGTTTTGGCTCCTGCAGGGACCTAAGACATGCGAGTTGAGTTAAATGATGGCAGCTAGGCCATGCGAAACGAAATTCTCCGAGACTGAAGAATTTCCTAATACTCCAATGACAGCCTCCCTGGTGGCCCACCCGACCGACAATGGGTACGTCCGGCACTCCGTACTTGCCCAGTTATAGACCGTGACTGGAGAGTACCACTGTTCAAATGCGCCGCAACAATACCTCGGCCAGGCTAGACCCTTCCCAGTCACCAAGCCAGTGAGCGCAAGGCTGTCAAGTCCCAATGACGGCTTTATCCATCAGTTCGGAATTGTTCCTGCCTGAACCCTACCCCTACTCTACCTTACCCTATCCTACCCTACCCAGTCACCGCCGGTTTTTCAGGTCTGTGCCAATCACTTGTCCGAGTAGGGTTCCCTCCTCCAATCAGAAGACAATTAGATCGCCTTTACCTCAATGGATTCCTCCAGGTGTTCCTTGAATCACGACCGTTGCCCAGTGCCCAGCCCAGTAGTCTACGTACTGTACCTGTGGGTGCATCTCGGAAAGAGACGCTTTTGCCCCCTCCTTTCCGAAACGGTCGAGCGCCACCCGAATCCATCCTGAGGCTTCGTGCAGGCTCCATGCTGAACGTTCATCGTACTACGCGGTGTTTATCCACCATCCACTCCCCCTCCGGAGGCTCAGGGTCCTTTCTCCTTTATTTCTTCTCGGAGATCACTGTAGATAGATTGCTCGTGATCCGCTGCTCATCAGAAAGTCCCCGAAGAACACGGATCGGTTTAATTTGGAGCCGATGAGGAATCCACTCTTGGTGTCGCCGTCGACGGTGGAGAAAAGCCACAGCGTGGTCTCGTGGCAGTCTAGATGGAGAAAAGCGGATTGACACCGCTAAACCGATTGTGGTGTACTAGTAGATTGATACTACCCTGGCTGCCTTATGGTCGACAAGCCCACTCGTCTGCAATGCGCTCCCAACCTATCGGGATTGGGCAGGAGAGAAGCAGCGAGGGAAAATGAAATACAATTAGAAAAAAAAAGAAAGAAAGAAAGAAAAAAAGAAAGAAAAAAAACAATCCAGAGGAAGAAGATAAAACACGCCTGGACGATTTAGACCCCTCCTCCCCGCCCAGAAGCATAGCTTGGTTGTCTGCAGCAATATGAAGCTATGGCCAATCCACCTAGTATTGAGACCAGCATCGAAGAATAAACGAAAAAGCAAAAGCAAAGATAGACAGTCGGGCCAACAACATCGGGTTCTACACCTTGACTGATTAAGCATTTGTCCTCCCACTCTTCCCAACGACCCTCCTATCATCGGCCATCGAGATGCAGAACACGTAAGGACCCCCGGCCCACCCACAGCCCTCAACAACGGACATGCAGTCGAGCATACCCCAATAGAGACAAGTGGCCGTCCATGGTGAAACAGCCCGGTTTTACCCTAATAAAAAATTCCATACGAATGGGGAGGGGGGGTGTGGACAAGGAGAGATGAAGCCCTTTCATTGTGATAGGGTGCTATGGGTGCTGCGCGATTTCTGCCTTTAGTTCCCTTGTGGTTAACGCTTTCTGGGAACTTCAGGTATGTTTCCGGAGAAGGCCGCAAATCGGGGATAGACTCTTTCCAGTAATGCTACCATCGAGACCAGTATACATGCTGCACCAGCACATATGAGCAGGAGGATTAGAGGGAGGTGGAAAAGGATTGCGGCATTATTCTTTTCTTCCCTAATCTGGAAACCCGGGGGGGGAGGGGGGCGTTTCTCCGCTCCCTCCGTGATGGATTTGCGCGTTTCTCTTGAGTGCTCGGGTTTGATGTAGATGTTCAGCGCTGACGTTTTGTGTGGGCTGTATGCGACGTTTGAGATGAAGACTGGCGCTGGAAGGTGAGGGTGAGTAAACGGTGGTGGTCTTGAGTGGCTGGATGAGTTGGGCTGCAGGAGAGAGAGTAGCTATGATACGGCTCCTAGGTGACCATCAGATTCAGATACTCCCAGCACCCAGGCTGCATTGAGGCGCCTTCTCGGCTTCGAAGTACCTGTACATACGTAGAATACACCACCCTCCCCTCGCCCTCACCAGTACGGAAACGTATCTCAAGACCTCACATGTCTACAACAAACGAGTCTCGTTTGTATCTCTTGCCATCCCTTTTGTTCTGAATATAGATGGCTTCCAAGATGACCGACAGTATCTCATCGCAACAGTGGAGGAGAAGGTAGCTGCCCATCAGCCGGCCGGCGTGATGGGACGAATGCCCAGTGGTACACCACCACTGACTCAGTCCCTTCCGCTCACCGTATATTCCGGCGCTTCGCACGCGGATTGGATGTGCACTACCTGTACTAGGTACGCACCTTGAAGGTTGGTAGACGTGCTACGCTTCCGATTTCGGCATGCTATCTCATTCGCTCCGGAGAAAGCTTACATGCAAGCGACTCAGCAACATTTAGGAAGAAAAAAGAAAGGAAAGAAAAACTTTGATCTTTGCACGTCAGCTGTTCGCTCCGTCTCTTTGCTCGGGAGATCGATATGCGACTTTCAGCATCTTGGTGCCCAGTCCCAGCCAAACCTGCTAGAACAAGACATAGGGAGAGCTGGATAGAGATTCTGGATTGATTGTCCCCAAACCAAGATCCAGTCGCTTTTCACCTTCTTTGCCCCCCCCCCCCCCCGCGAATACCCATCATCATCCTGGTCAAGTCTTTCAAAGATCAACGGGATTTTCCAACCGGGGGGGGTGGGGTTGTGTCTCGTGACTCTAACGGTCCATGTCAGCTGAGGATGGATAACCGGCGCATATCAGCAATCTAAATCTTCCACCAAAGGCGGAGGGGACTATCCGACTCGCTCTGTTCTTCTCTTGCTGGTGGTGAGTTACTGGGTTTGTTGATTTACATGGTTATGGTCATGGGTCAAGAGCTTGGTTTTCTTGTTGGGATCAGGATGGATCTGGGGTGGCTCTGTGGGGTATGCGCGGACTGACGTCAAGGGTTTTGTCTGTGTCTTAATGTTGACAGTGGTCAGGTCTGGTCAGGTCTGTGAGTGAAGGATGATCTATGATGAGTTGCCCTGTCCGTGATGCGATGCTCTAGTGATCTTGGATCAGTGTCGCCGTCTTGTTTTTCGGTGAGTGGTGGGCATTGGTAGGGTGGAGAAGAATGGACTTCTCGCTGGGAAGAAAGAGGTGTCTACCTTGGCTAACCTTATAGGAAACTTGCTCATGAGCCATGCTTCCGGCGGCAACTGTTTTGATGTGTTCGATATTCCGTCCGGTGTGTCCGCGCTACGACTGCGATCGATGACAATGACAACATAAGCTCCGAGAGCTGGAGGTGACCCTTCGCTTATCGCGTGGCGCGATCTCATCCATACATCGATACGTCATCGGATATACACGTCAACTGGGAAATGAGAAATCCGACGGGAGCATCCTGACCGCGGATAATGAGGCTGCATGGAGAGTGAGCTGTGAGATAGTAGGATGGGATGCGGTTTGTTGGTGCGTCCCGCCCGGAGAGTCGGATAAGCTACGTTTCTGTCTCTCAGGCATAAGGGATGCATGGTGTCTTGTCTGCGCTGCAGTCGTGAGGTTATGGAGCAGTTCGTCTTGTTGGATGGGTGTCTGTATGCACTGCTACGAGTGCGTCTGGAGTCTGCAGTGTTGCGTTATGAAACCATCGTGCTGGGCACGAGTAACACCGGTAGCATGGACGGACATGGCTTCAAAACGGTTTCAGAGAGGAACCTTTACCTCCCAGGGCGACCGAGGCTTATAGCTCATCAACATGGCTGGCTTGGTGCATCAGCAGTACAGCCTGGTGCTTTCTTGTCTTCGATGCTCATCACCTTTCATGTAGTAGGACAGTGCACATCAGCTCATCTGTGTACTGTTTGGGAATGTACCTCTGTTGAGCATTGTGTAACTGATGTGGCTGACTGGCATTTACAATTCATGGAACCGAGTCCCTGTGTCGCTAATGGCTCTCTGGAGATGGCAGTTCACAAATAGCTACACCCCTATACTGCCTTGGCAAGACACCACAGCCTATGTCAAGTTGTGGTATCCGATGATGTGCCTGAATAGCAGTATCAGCTTGCAAGTGATGACCGTAGTCTCTTCCTACGCGTTACGTTCAACGACATAACTACCCGAATGTGTCTCCGTGTCTCACTCTCAATCAGCCACAAGGCGGCCTTTCGTCATCAGAGCACCCGGTGTCCGTTCTCGAATAACTATCATATACAAGGATAAAATCAAATCTCCGACTCTCCAACACGATACCGGTCACTCTAGAATGTCTAGTTAATCTTTCTAAGCACGCATCTTTGGAACAGAATGTACCGTTGACCTGATGCGTTCGCTAAAGAACGACTCAAGTATACAGGACATCATGTCTCGTTCTGCAAGCACGCTTGACCGACGGGTCAGCTCGTATATGACTCAGAACCGTTGCACGAAAGTCCATGTTCGCGGTCTAACATGAATCTGTGGTGGCTACGTCACCAACTCAAGGTCTTTGCCCACTGGGTGGTGGATCTCAAATGAAGTACCGTTTGGCTGAAGATAATATTCAGTCACACCTATAGACAGGTAGCCAGTCCGTATTGGACTGGTATGGTTAAGTTCAGTTTCTGTTTCTTTGGATGTTTCCGGTGTAATGACGCCCCCTGCCATGGGCTTCCTAGGGGCTTGGGATCTCGTGAATATGATGGATCCAGATATCTGATTGGTATACTTAGCACTCATGTATCCCATATTCGGCAGACATATGAGCTCTCGATGTTCGACTCGCTCAGGAGAGCCTAAGAAGTTACGAATCGCAATTTTCGCGAGAGGGCGCGCGCGCAAGAGAGAGAGAGAGAGATACAGGAGGTGAACAAGCACATGCATTACTGCTGCCGGTAACATGTGCCTCGCGGTCGGCGCTTGTTTCACAGCCGAGCAGCTCTATCTATATCATCGGGAGCTGCGGCTTGGCTACTATGGAACCACACCACAAGACGGTCAATGAGATGGCCGTGGTTCACGCACGTTGGATCTGATATCCTTCGTGATCTTAGGACCCCCTGGTCCTTGAGAGGTTACGGACCGGAGTTCGACCAGGAACATATAGTGACAGATCTTCCTCGAGCGAACGTGGTGACATCCGGCTGGTCAGTGCTCACACCCCGCTGTGCAAGATCGAATCGATTCTTCGTCAACGTGGTACAGAGCTTGCGGGTTGGCGCGGAAGTAGAGTTCCGAACTCGTTCAGGTGGCTTGGACTTGTAGCAAAAGTTGATAACTCAGGAATGGGTGATATGGAACGATTTCTTGATTCCTCGGTGGTTTGCTCGATGGAATAGCTAAGATCTCAAGGTGCGCAAAACTCACTTGGTGAATCGCCTCGGATCACGTGGTTTGGATTGCTCAAGAACGCCGACAGGACTGCAGGACCCGTGGAATGAAGGACGTCGAATGGCTTTGGATGGGACTGCCGGTCGCATGGCTGGTTGGAGCCAAGTCGCATCTATTTTGAATTCAGCGATGTCCGGATATGTATTAAGAGATGCAATTCTTGCGCAACGAGAGATAGAGGACTTGTTTAGCTCTTTTCTACCACGTGGAAGCTCTTTCCCCCCCCCCGTATCGTGTCAAGGAATCTCATAGGTCCGTAGCATAGGTTGTATAGCATTTATAGTTAACTTCCTAGCTACTTTAAGCTAATAACTAGTAGGTTTAGCTTCGAGTTAAAGGTTCCCGCGAACATACTCAGCAAAATATAGATCCGCACACACAAACCTTCTCCACTCGAATCCCATCATTAAGTTGCCATATCCGGTCTACACCGAGACTTGAATTGAATCCTGTGGTTTGGAGGTAGAAAATCCGCTCGTTGACCCAGGTACTGGTGATTGGACCTGCCAAGGATGAGTCAAGTTGACCTTGTCATTACATCATCCGCCGATGATCGACTTGGCCGTAGGGCTATGGAGCACATTCACCATGAGACACGCCCACCCTGTGCAATACCACGGCGTGAGCATATCTACCACAAACACTTGCGCTTTTTGCTCGAAGAAGGCGGAAGGCGGGTGTCTCCAAGACTTATGAATCAGGGGACTGGCTCTTATCAACCAATCTTGCAGCACGATCACCAATAAGTCTTTACATCTTATGTACATTGCTTTTTCCACAATCACAGCATCGATCGCCACTATCGCCTTATCCTACACCCTCTACACGGTGATTGGCAGCGATTGACAGGACAAAGCACCCTGTGCAATGGCGATCCGAACCAAGCCGTCGCCATAGGAAGATTTGATCCTCAATCACAATCACCGCCCGGGACTGAACACGGATTCCGGGGAAAGGATTGATAACCCGATAACAACAACTATCCAACCCGTGGTGCCAATGATCAAGACCAGAGGAGCAGTGTGCTTATCGCAATGATGCGCAGCGGTTGAAAATCGCGCTCGCGTGACTGGTTGACAGGATATGAGGAATGGTTATTAAAGCAAAACAAGTGAGAAACAAAGTAAGGTTTTTTTTTTTTTTTTTAGACTCCGTGCTGATAGTGGGTGTCGTGATAAGAGGGTTCGGTGATGAAATCGCGATTGTGATGGAGGGTGGCCGAGGGAACGTGAGAAGGAGCCTGCCTATAAAGACACCCTGGTACTGGCTGTCCTTTTTCGCTTTCGACCTGGATCTAACAGTCCATTCATCGAAAGGCGAATCTACCCGACACCCCAGTGGTAACATGAATCACGCTCGTGAGGACGAAGAGGGCCTCTCTCCAGGATTTCCCTCGGCAACTGGTCTGGGGTCGGAGAATGCGGAGAAAGCAAGAGGAGATGGATCGAAACCGCCAGTCAAACAGCCTCACTTTATCGTCGCTCTCGGAGTTCGGGCAGGAGGAGATGAACCTCGATACTTTCTTAGATGATAACAATGGGGTTCAGCCATTTGCCGGTCGATCGATAGGGCAATCCACGACTGTGATTCGATTGTGTCTCACACGCAACCCCCTTTCTGGTTGATGACTGCGAGGACAGATTGCAGGGTTGCAGGTACGACCCAAATGTTAGACATGGTTCCTTATCTTTGACAGCCGTCCTCAACGGATGTCAATATGCAGAGTTATCAAGGCGATCGAAACCTTCGGGGACTGGGACGGCCAAAAAAGAGGTGAGCACTGCAGTACATAATCCAGGCCCATCCCGGGCTTGTGAATCTCATTTTCTTTCCTGTGTCTCTTGAGTGAGCGAGTAGAAGTGTTTCAAGCTCGTCCTGACCGCCATTTGAAGTGGTGATGCCTGAATATGTTGCAGTGTGGTGGGGGATGGAGGTTTCCTGTAAGGGAAACTGGAAGGGGCAAGCTTGAACTTGGAATGCTGCTGTTGGGCACTCTTTGGCTGCATCGGCCTTTTGTTCTTCTCCCAATACCTTCTTGTTGTGAGGCCGCATTGTCTATCGTCGACATCCAAGGGATACTTTTGCTTCCTCTTATGCGCCACAGCCTACTCCACACTATTTTCCCACACTATTTTCCCACACTTTTCCCCATCCAGATCCCATCCATTGCGGCTCGCCAACCCAGTGATCCACCAACCATCCACCATCCATGATCCGTCGATTATACCCTCTAACTACAACCTACTACCTCTGCACATTCACCCCACCACCCACCACCCACCACCCGTCAGCCTAAATCCCTCCGAAGGTCGAGACAGGTTTTGGTCAACACACTTCCCTTCTAGTCACGTCACGTCTGGTCCTCCTCCCTGAGGCCACTGTCCGTCTCTTTCTACGTCTGACTCGATCAGAATGCTGATCAAGCCGCCTACAGAGCTTCAGGTCGGGTGCTCGGAGGCCGACTTTGAACCTATCGCTTCGTATTGCAAATGCGCCCGCGACAGCCGCATCATGTACGAATAAATAAGTAAGTAAGCATCTGACCAATCTGACCAATCCTGCAGTCAGCATTCAACAAACCTAGCTGCCTTCTATGGCGGTCTAACGAGGACAAGCCATCCTCGTCCTCATGGTGCAACCGACACAGGATGACCAGGTGAACTCTGTCACACTCCACATCCATCAACCCGCCTGCCAAGCAAAGGATTCCTGGATTGGGCATTCCGCAGCTGAAGGCTTGGAGAGGATGAAAGGATGCGTGAGATGGCGGATCAAGCTCAGCATCTCGGAAGCGGGTTAGTTTGGGGGAGGGGGATAAACTTATGGGGTACTCCGTACTCCGTACAACCAGCCGGTTTCGTCCTTCCGTCATCCAGCAGCAATGACGAAAATCCCATAGTGTCGGACCCCCAAGAAGTGGAACTGAGCCGTTCTATCACGATACCCATACACATTATGGATGGATGAACTATTGTCCCTCTACGCTGGGTAAAGTCTGCATTTGCCTTCTCCTTGGTCAACTACCTCCGGTCGGTGGCGTCCTCGCTTGATTGTCCGTTGTGAATGTTGCATGATGTTTTGTTTTCTTTTACTTTTTTTGGCTGTTTACTTTGCCTCACGCACGGCAAGGGAGCTTTAACCGACCACCTCCCCCCCTTGAAACATTCATCCATACCTGCCGAAGGTTGATCCCGATCACGTCGACCAGGCTTGAGAACATGCTATTACGACGGTGGACTTACTCGAGCAGGTTAGACCCAGGCACGACCGATTGTTCAGTTGGTCAGTGTGTTAATCCAGGGTGCCGTCGGAAGTTGGAGAGCTGCATCCGGACGAGAAAGGGAACAACCCTAAGCCGTGCTTGGTTGCGTGGCTGTCGTCTCAGATCCCTGCCGCCCAGGCTATACGGACTATCTTATAGTGGATGATGGGCTGTCATTGGACGCCTCTTGGATAGTTTGACTCTGGTGGGTTGACGGAGCATCATGGCGGTTGACGGGGGATGACGGAGGTTGGTGTGGTGGTGGTGGTGGTGGTGGTGGTGGTGGTTGTTGATCTGACCCGCGATCTCGAGTCATGGAACTGAACTCAAGCTGAAGGGTGGGTGCCTCGCTCCGAGGAACCACTAATTAGTCATCCGGAGATAAGACGAACGGACCAGTCATCCACCCAACAAACAGTCCAAACACTCCGCTTCTGCGGGTTGACCTTCGCCTCCCTTTCCTCTTCCAGCGATAATTGCCTTTGCCACTTCACCTTCCCCCTCATGTCATTTGTTGAACGACAGATGTCTCGTGCCATGGGGCAAAATTATCCACATCCACCCACACACACATACATCACCCCTTTTTGCATGTGAGCTGATCCTCTGCCTTCTTTCCCTGCTGATGCTGTGTTAGCGGACAACAGTGTTATGTTGCCTTCTTCTTCTCACCCCCACCCCCGCTGTTCCGGACGGTCGCTTGTACTCAATCCTGTACTTTTGATCGATGCTGGTCGACACAGAAGCCGAGGTCACGATTACGTTGCCTAGCTCATTTACCCGGACAACGATTGGTCCCGATGACCAAGGCTAATTACACTCTTATCAGCTTATCTGCGACTTCTTATCTCTGGTCCATTATGGGTCGTTTAGCGTGGTCGACACCGATTATCAAGCACTAGCGCGGTGGACCTCGCGGTCGTTCCTCGCGTGGGGCCGAAAGGGAGCAAAACGTGCTCTAGGAACTTTGTCGTTTGGAACAACGGGGACGGTATGGCCCGTCTGGCGGTAGTCAGTAGCCAGACAGAAGTCCTGTGCTCTCTTGCCCGTCTTGTTCACTGGACCCCAGACTCGACACCGACCGGTGATGAGGGCTAGTTAACGGTCACCGTGGACGACCTGGCCACGGCTTGGCTCTATCACATCCTCCATTCTTTACAGTACGCCTAGCTCCGCCGGTCTCGCCACCGCAGGGCTTGGGATGACGGGGGTGGATGTGGCCGACTCTTGCTCCGTGCTTTTGACACCGCGATGTGCACTGTGCTTCGGAAATGCGAATGGGTCCCCTCTTGAGAAGGATGACGATGATGTTGAGGACGATGATCACCAGCGTCATCGTCAGTTTGAGCCGGCATGTCCAGCACTACTCTGGACCATGGCTGTCGAGCCAAGTTGGATTGATCTGCTATCACCAGAGCGCGAACCGACTCGGGTATTCTTCGTGACGCGATCTAGTAGCTGCATATCCGAACGGGGATCTGGCCATGGAAAACTACGATGCCGACCGGGATGCCAATTTGATTGCTTCAGACTGATGTGTCTGTCTGTCTAGGCCGCGCCTCTCTTGCCTCTAGACGCTGGGCTTGTGTTCGAGGTAAAGTTAGCCATGACCCGCCGTGCAGGGTGGATCTGCATTCATCAACCTGAATCGTGGAAATCTCCATTGATTAATATTCCACAGAGTGGGAATGGAACAGAAGGGAGGGGTTGCGGCTGTAGGGATTACACTCGTAGCGTGGGTGGCCATTTTCCCTCCCATGCCATCAGCTTGTGTTCAGTACTGCCGCCGGTTGTCAATGCTTGTTTTCTCCGGCTGATACGCGCTTGAAAGGGGTGTGACGAGCGTGACATTACCCACTAAGATTACCGGGTCATACACGGGTTCGGGTAAGTTAGGGATTTTGGGCAGCTCAGCCTTCTCGGTGAAGTAAGTTACATAGTAGCAGAGTAGTACAGTCAGTGCATGGGAGACTTGACTTGACTACTGTCCCGGAGGACGGTCCTCCCACGGTTTCCCCCCTCTCTCCTCCTCCGTATGCTGTTGCTACTTACCTGCTGGTGACTGGACAGGCACCTGCTGCCTTGGGGTTAGCTGCAGCTTGGTGGGCGGGACTTTTCCGAACGCACTCCAACATCAAGCTTCTACTCTTCCGGTGACGGAAAGCCAGGGAGCATTGATCACTTTCTCGGACTGTGAGGGTGTCTGTCCAATGCAGGAAAATTATGTCATGATCTGATAGGCATCGCCATAATTAGAGCGAAGCTTGGGGACTTGACGTCGACTCTTTCACAACCGGTTGACTGCACTAAACCCACACATCCACCGTGCTCGGGAGGGAAAAGGACAGCAACCTTAATTTGAGCGGTCGTCAAGGACTGGCTCCATGCCATGTGCTTGACCGGGCGGTGGTCCGTCCTATCCGATCAAAAGAGGGTTGGGAGTTGGGAGGGAGCAGTGTGTCTCGTCCGGACCAGACGGACTGCCCGAAACGAAGTGTGTCCCATGGTCCCGCCCCGCCGTGCACAGGGACACCGACTGAGCACCAACACACTCTATAGTTACGATGCACGGTGCGATGATTTTGTCGGGACTGCCAGTGGCTGGTAGCTTGGTCCCTGCTTTTTTCACTCTAGTCACTCTATCCCTCCCTCCCTTCCCCCCGTTCGGTGAGACAGGCATAGGTCCGGGTTCAGGCTCACCGTTCTGTTTCTCCGATGGACGGCGCCGCCGTTTCCTTATCCCATCCATGAACGACCTCCAAGGCAACAATGGCGATAGCTGCGCAGTCCCAGTATCTCAAGCTCACCGGGCGAATCCTAATTGCAGCTTCGCTACCCCAACAGCATTAACCGATGCAGTGGCTACTCCATCGGCCCCCAGAAAAAGGAAGGATGGGGATTGGTCCGACATGCATGTAAAGCTGCATTCTCTGTCCCTGTTCGGATTTGATTCCAACAAGGTGCTGTTTAGTCTGTTACTAGTCGAGAGGGTACGTAGTTAAGGTCGCGACTACTCGGGGAGAAAGAGATGAGAGAGGGGCAGGTGAGGGCGCAAAGACGCTCAGATCCCCTCTGTCTCGCGCCGGGCATAATTATAATGACCCTAGCTATAACTACCTGCGATTCGGCCGGTCATCGGCAGGGGAGGTGAAGAGCGAGGGTCATGATATAGATCCACTGGCTGCAGACAACAACACCAGGTCACCGGTACCGCTTAGGGGTACAAGGAAAGGTCTCCGTGGAAGATCCGATCTCGAACGACGGAAACTCCCATTCCCCTTCCCCCCCAGTCCCTCTCTACCCATGCATGCTCTTATTAATCTCCATAGCATCATCGTTCCATGAGTGAACGCAAGCGAGAAATCTGA